AAAATTACTCACAGTCCAATATATTGTAAATCGTGTGACACTATCACCGTACAATCTTGGATGGACCTGAAATAGAAAAATATAGACATAATTAAGTATGTATGTAAAAAACATATGTATGGAATGGAGAATCTTTAGCAAGTAATTAATATTATTGACTTACTGTCCAACCAGCTTGTATACTATTGAGTTGATCTGGAGGTCCATTCTCTAACCATATTTGACATTTACTGTATTGATTATTTTGCAATTTTAAATCATGAATACTTATATCAGCTTCTGCTCCCCGATATATACTTCCATCTAACATGGTCTCAATTGTTGCGAACTGTAAATTTTATCAATATGTTAGTATAATTTTCATCTATAATATATATTTTGCATGGATAACAATCATATATTTTTTATTTTCTCTATTAGTTTACATATAACGAATATATTATTAGTCCCCTGTCTTAATAGCTAAATGAGATTTTGTAACTCCTTTCAAAAACAAAAATTAGAAGAAGACATACATGTTGACCAGAATATTCGGCTGTATTCAAATGAACGCTCTTGGATTCATTTCTTTGTCTTAAAATTGCAACGGTTCCTTTTGGACAATGCTCTTTTGTATTATATTTGTTGCTTCTTTCAATAATTCCATCCAGGCTGAATGTTTCCTACATTGTATCACAAGTCACACAAGGGAAAATAAGATTCATCATTATTGATGTTTCCGGATGTCCTAGTTTCATATTTGATTGACCACAACTATTTTATTCACATTTTATAAAATTTTAAACTAAAATAAACTTATTCATCCAAAAGTTTATTAGGAATACTCATCCTTGACTAAAATAAAATTATTGTAAAAATAGAACAAATTGAATCTTCATAACATTTAATATTTACTTATTGTAATATAAAATTCAAAATCGTTTTATAAAATAAATGGAATATGCGAGATTTGATTCGATATGAAAAATCTATATAATTCTATTTTGGACTAGATCAAATTAAATTTCAAATCTCGAATAGTTTACCCAATGCTATATGCTACGTTACCTGTATCTTGTGATCTTTGTACAATGGATGTTGAAAGCCGGTTGTTTGTATATTTCGACACAATC